AGAAACCAGCTCACAGGATGGAAACACCATCCAGGCAAATAACACATGTCCCAGGGATAGAGACTGAGATCACAAATGGTGGGAAGAGTGAGTACACAGGGAAATTGCTAAATCCAGAGGTGATACTTAGCTCCTCTGAGTAAAGAAATTATCAAACTGATGAGAAGAAATCACTAAAAATTGTTGTAAGTTTGCATGACAGAGCAAAAAAAAAAATGGTAAATGAGTTTTAATTCAAAGGATTTTATTTCAGAAAAAAACATTTAAGTATATAATGCAAATACGTGTAAATTAGTGAGCTTCAAGTTACCCATCATGAACCAAGTAAAAGGCACGTATAACACAGGAAAAGGAGTCATTACAGTCATTACCATTGTCCAGCTGTGCAGATGGAGCCCAAAGGCTGACATCAACATTGTAGAAATTAGGGTTGTAACGTGATATGATTAGTAACCACCTTCTGTTACTTTCTTTGTGCCTGGCACTGTGTTATGAGCTTTCTTTATAGTATGCCTGGTTCTCACAACAACCCTGTACATTATGCATCATCTCTCCATTTAGGTATAAACAGACTGAAGTTCAGGGAAATTGCATACGTTGCCCAAAATGAATGTGGCTGTAAGCGGTTGAGCCACGATTTGAATCTAGAGATATCTTCTTCCCTAGCCTGAACAGTCTCAGAAAGACAATACAAAACCTAAGAGAAAAAAGGTGAAAAAAATATAGACATAGATATAAAATGATTGATAGCTAGATACAGATTGATGGACAGATAGACAGACTTATCTACACCTATGTCTACTTATCTCCCCAAAACGTTTCCACACCCAGAGTACATTGCACACCTGTGCTTCTTGGACCTCAGAAAGTTAGGAAAAGCACTAGGACATCACCTGAAACAGCACAATCAAGAGGTAAGGAAATTTTCATGATGGACAGATGAATATTCAGGGAAATATGATCTAAACCTGCCAGATAATAAAGGATAAAAGTAAGAATTCCTGGGCCGGCCCGGTGGCGCACTGGAGAGTGCGCCGCTTGGGAGCGTGGTGGCGCTCTCACCGAGGGTTCAGATCCCATGTGGAGACCGGTTCCTGCTCACTGGCTGAGCGCGGTGTGGGCACGACACCGAGGGTTGTGATCCCGTTGCCGGTCCCCAGTACGGGCGCGACACCGAGGGTTGCGATCCCATTACCGGTCAGTAAAAAGGACAAAAAGGAAAAAAAAAAAAAGTAAGAATTCCTTCAGTGTTTTGTGTATCTAATGTATGTCAGGTCTGTAGCTGAAGCTTACACATGTGATCTCAGGGAATTTTCATAAAGTACGTCTTTTGTTATCCTCATTCAACAGTGAGGAATCTGAGGTTTTGGAAGAGTTGGTTGACTTGCCTCCCTCCAATAATCAAGCATTCAGAAAATAACAACAAAAATTTAAACTATGGAGACCCTTTCTACTTCACCAAGAATTAAGGCTAAAAAATAAAATATCACCTTTTGAATGCATTATAAATTTATAGACCAGAGGCCCATGACAAATTATTAAATGAAGTTAAGAAATCCAGGCATATTCATCATCTTCTAAGTTTAACTTCTCACAAGATGGTAAATTTTTGCTGTGACTTCTCTGTTTGTGCTTTTGTAAACTATTGAACCATTTAGCCAGGAGTTGTGAAAATTAAGCTTTAGTCCAGTTCTGCTGCCAAAAGACAGCAGCGAGACCCTAGGGTGGTTAGTGACCTCTCATGTTCTTATGTTAGAACATGAACATCTAGGCTATTTGAATTTTAAGCTCCATTCCAGTTCAGCCTTCTATGGAATCCTTAGGGGCTTGACCTTTCTGTCTCTCACATCTCCCACTCCACAATCACTCATTAGAAGAGCATCGATTGACTACTAGAATGACCACTTTAAAACATCATTATCACAGATCATTTTAATTATTCTGCACAGCAAAAATCAAATTCCTGATCTGCATCTCCAGCCCAGCAAGGCTTCAGCCACATCCAGATGTCCTGGGCCACCAGCCAGCCATTTCTCTGTGGGTGCTCTGTGGAGCCTTACACAATTAGAAAAATGAATCTACTGGAAAAATAACAATAGCAACAATTAATGTCAAAGCTAAGGAGAAACTATTTTTAGATTTGCCATCTTAGATTATCTGTATTACTGTTCACATCCACATGTCCTCAAGAAAAATGTCCGCAAAGGGGAATCTGAGGGCAGAAATGCCTAGGAGGTTGTAGGTAATTTCTAGTCTGAGGAAGGTTGGGGATATAAGCGGGGTGGCATGTGTCCCATGTGGAAAGGATACTTCTGGAGAAATATAAATAAGAAAGAGTATGTAGTAGATAGCCCATGGACTCTCAGGGGCTAGATTGTTTGGGTACAAATCTGGCTCTACCACTAACTAGCTATGTCACATCTAATTCCTGTAGGCCTCGATTTTCTCATCTGTAACATGGGTATCATAAGAGTCCACTTACCTCATCAGGCTGTCACTAGGATTAAGTGAGTTAAATGTACAATGTTCTTATGAGCATTTGCCTGGCACTTTCTCAAGTGTTATCTATTAGTGTTGAATGTTATTAGTCATCTGGAAGAGTGAGATTATCTGTCGCCATGTCCCTGGGGAGAAGAGTAGCTCAGGCAAGCCTTGTACAATGGTCCCCCTTATCTGCGGTTCTGCTTTCCAAGGTTTCAGTTACCTGCGGTACCGGAGAAGATACTTTGAGAGAAAGAGAGAGAGAGAGAGAGCCAAATTCACGTAACTTGTATTACAGTATTTTGCTATAATTGTTCTATTTTATTATTATTGTTAATCTTTACTGCACCTAATTTACCAATTAAAATTTATCATAGGTATGTATGTATAGGAAAAAACAGTATACAAGGGGTGGGTACTATCCATGCTTCCAGGCATCTGCTGGGACCCTTGGAACATGTCCCCCGCAGATAAGAGGGGCTGCTGTAGTGTTCTCTGCTCTTGGTGCAGCTTCTCCTGCTGGGGTTTGAATCACTGAAGCTTTGAAGTGTCTGTTCTCCACCCCCCACCCCCACCCCTAGAGAAAAGCTGCTTCTAACACACATTCCTAGAGTTTGTGACAATTCCTTCTAAAAACTCTAAGCAGAGCAGAAACACTCCTTAGTCTCTTTCGTTTCATTGGCCAATTTGGCGTGCTTTACAGAGCCTTGTTGCTTGTCATTATTGGTGCCATCACCTGGCCTTTCTGTCACCTACATCGCTGTGCAGCATGAAAGAACTAGGTTGTGTCTGTCCCTCCCTCCTGCCCCCTCCCTCCACCACACTTCTCTGAGGGGACAGAAAGGAGGGTAAAGAGGGTGAGCAGAGGCAGAGCAGGCACCGCGGCAGTTCTGTCCTGCCCGAAACCCCCAGGACAGCAGGCTTCTCTCTCTCTCTCTTTCATACCCTAAAGCTACAGCACCTGGCAAAGAAAAGGCACTCAATACAGGTTTGTTAAATTTGCTCAATAGACTGAAGAGTAGCCAAAAAATAAAAAATTGAGGGCTCTAAAACAGATGGAAAATGATTCTACCTCCCTCAGCCCTGCCCCAAACCTAACCCTCCCCTTCCCCAGTAAGGCTGGAAACGTCTACTGAAAGGGCTCCCCTGGGAGATGACAAGAGGAAGCCCACAGTGACAGTGATAAATAAAAACCTGGGTATTCTCCTCACCAAAAGCTAAGCTCCCTGCATTCCTTCCAGCTCTTTCGTCTGCTTTTCATGTTGCCCTTTGACCTGGCATTATTGCTCTTATGTTCTATGGTGTAGCAACTATGGAAAATTCCACTTCCAACACTGATTATAAACAGCGATTATAAGAGAAAATAAGAGTTGAGCTTATAATCAAAACTAATAAAAAAGAGATAAGAAAATAAAAAGAGATGTCAGTAATATTTATTAGAAAAATCCAACCTCCTTCTGTCCAGTTTGCATCAAATCTCTTACCACCTCATGTTTCCCCCATTCCCGAGGATTATGATAAGCGTAGCAGACCCTCACACTGTCAGCGTTTTCCAGATGTTGCCTGCAAATGAGTCACTGGATAATATTCTGATGGCAAATTTAGAATGTACTGCTAACTCTTAAGAGCAAGTCAGAACAGATGCATATCACCTTTCCTCATGTTGACAGAGTATTAATAAAAATGTTAGGGACATGTCATTCCTGACGTGCCCAGTGAGGCCCTCGCACGAAACATCCCCTGCTGCCTGAGTGTCTGCCCCAGGGCCTGGCACAGATCTAAGTCTCTATTTAAGTCTAAATACAGATTTTCTCTGATTGACCCTAGTGTCCTTTCTTCAGAACCTCATATGGGTCATGGAAAGTTCTGGATTCAGCCTCAGGAATGCAGATTCTATTCCTAACTTATTGTGAGCAGTTAAGTTCTTTAAACAACCCCACTCCCCACCCTAGCTTTGTTTTTTTCTTCCTTAAAATTATGATGTTGTATGAGATGATCTCTAAGGCCCTCGCCTGACTTACATTTTGAAGACAGATCAGAAATGACAGAGTAGGGCAGGGAGGAGGATCCAGAAGCAAGGACTAAAGACACATTTCCTGCCTTGGGGACTGAGGCTGAGCTGGATATACCACTCATGGCCACATAGGACCCATGAAATAATGAAAAGAGCATGGAGCACCTGAATTGTTTGTAGGCAGAGGTCAGGAGGGAGGCATTGACAGGCTTCTTCGGAAAGAGCACTTTGAGAAAGCAGGTAGAGGAAGTCCAGTCCAGGAGGCAGGAAAAACTGCACCATTTTTCTGAATAAGTCACTAAGACTGCCCTCTTGGGCAGGGGAAAGGACATGTGAGCTGTTGCCATGTCTGCAGCCTCCACTCCAGGCCCACCATCTAGCACTCCAGGCCCACCCTCTAAATCCCACTTGACCCTTTCTCCATGAGCAGGGTCAGAGGGGCAGCACCCCACAAGCTCACCCTTCCTGCACTTCTGTCGCACAGATGCCTCTGGGTGGGCCCTGCATGGACAGCCCCAGCAATGCCACCATGCCCTGTGGTTTTCTCCTTCAAGGCTTCTCTGAGTTCCCACGTCTGAGGCCCGTGCTCTTCCTCCTGCTTCTGGCTGTGCACCTGGCCACGCTGAGTGGGAACCTGCTCATCCTGGTGGCGGTGGCCACGGTGCCCAGCCGGCCGCCCATGCTGCTCTTCCTGTGCCAGCTGTCAGCCATCGAGCTCTGCTACACACTGGTGGTGGTGCCCCGCTCCCTGGCTGACCTGACCATGCTGGGCCACGGCAGGGGCAGCCCCATCTCCTTCCTGGGCTGTGCCCTTCAGATGCAGATGTTCGTGGCTCTGGGCGGGGCCGAGTGCTTTCTGCTGGCTGCCATGGCCTATGACCGCTACGTGGCCATCTGCCACCCTCTGCGCTACACGGCTGTGGTGACTCCGGAACTGTGCGTGCGACTGGCCCTGGTCTGCTGCCTCGGGGGCCTGGCGGTGTCCGTGGGGCTCACGGTGGCCGTCTTCCACCTGCCCTTCTGCGGCTCCCGCCTGCTGGTGCACTTCTTCTGCGACATCACGG